TACTTGGCCATATTCTTGAGCTATTTGAAGTTGTGCATCATTCACTTTTTCAAAATTTTTATTTAATATAATATCATATTTTTTGATACTATCAAGTGATTTATTGTGCATAATCGATGCCAATAAATTCTTATTGCGCTATATATTACTTACTTTCCTTAATATTTTTCTTTGTGTACTAATATTAAATACTGTGATACATTTATGATACTTCTGTCCTTTTGTTCTTGGTCTTAGTAGATTGTGATTAACTTATACTTATTCTTACTATCTGGTTGTATAGCATGTTCTTTTTGTTTTTCAAGTTGATTTTCTATCCCTTCTATAAATTGCTGATATAATTCATATAATTCTTCTGTGCATCCAGTTTTAACTGCTATGTTTAAAGCTTTTTTTATCAAGCCGAACCCTTTTCTATAAAGAGCATGATTCTTTATATGATGTTGTACTTTAGGTATAAAAACATAGTAGCCATGTAGAGTTCCATTTCAGATAAATCTATTATCCATTTATTTATATTCAATTATCCAGATAATCCAAATTGCTCAGATATTCTTATAATCTGATGAGTAATCAGATAATTATCCAGATATTAATAGTAAAATAGATATCTGAATAAATTTAGATTTGAATATCTGATAAATAAATAGATAAATAGATAATAGATAGGAATACTTATAAGAGTTATTTTTTTGATACTTCTCTCGAGCAAAAGCTTTGCGAGTTTTCCGTAATAACAAGCCCCACCTTCACCAAAGCACTTTTGAATAGTGCGTATGTGAATGTCTACCATCAGCAAAATTTAAAAGATGCTATAAATCAATAGTAATCCTCTAGATTACAATCGATATACAACCTTCTGCTGATTATTATCGTTAGTGATTACTAACAATATATAACAAAAAAATTTGTTAAATTTTTTTAAAATTTAAAATTAATTTTCTCGATAACTATTAATCCAAATTGGCTTAAATTTTTACCATATATAGTATATAGATTCAATATAATATAGTAAAATTTTAGCAAATTTGAATCAATAGTTCTTGAGAAATCATTTATTAATAGTTAATTTTTTTAAAAAAATTAACTATTATTAACAAATAATTTCTCAAGAACTACTAATTCAAATTGGCTAAAATTTTACTATGTTATAGTTGAATATATATAGTATAAGTGGTAAAAATTTGAGCCAATTTGGATTGATAGTTATCGAGAAAATTAATGTTAAAGTTTAAAAAAATAGGTCAAATTTTATAAAATCGGTATTAATCAATAGTGATTATAATCATTATATATCAATAATTGTTATTTATCATTAGTGATATATATCAATATATAGCAGTTAATCAA